AAGCAATTATACTGTCCATACTATTTTGCAAATTATTAGCTGCTATTACTGCGCTTTCTCCAACTGCAAAGACTGCAGTATCATCAGCAAAAGTTGCTGTGAACGTCGTTGCACTCGTTGGCAAGTCGTGTGTATAAATCAGATATAAGAGAGGACCCAAGACACTACCTTGCGGAACTCCAGCGTTAATTTTATGCAGTTTACTATAGGCATCACCGTGCTTTACTCGAAAATAACGATCAGATAAGTAAGAGGAGATTACGTCATAATACTCCGTTGGGAGAATATTTTTTACTTTGGTAAGCAATCCGGAGTGCCAGACTTTATCGAAAGCCTGCGACACATCTAAAAACACAGCTAAGCAGATTTTTTTTCCTCAAGAGCTTTTTCTATTACATTGGTAATCCTATGGACTTGATCTATGGTGGAGTGATTGCACCTAAAACCAAACTGATGTAAAGGTATTATGTTTTGACTTTCAATCAGAGGAAGTATTCTTTTCAGTAAGACTTTTTCAAATATTTTTGAAAGTACAGCCAGAAGTGCTATTGGTCTGTAACCACTTACGTCATTAATATCCTTTCCTGGCTTATGTACCATGATAATTTCAGATACTTTCCACAGGGATGGAAGGGTTCGCATCTGTATTATAGCGTTAAATATATTCTTAATTTTAACTAGGCATTTTGCAGGAATTTCTTTTAAAACTTCAGCACTTATCAATTCATAACCTGTGGTTTTTTTTAGCTTACGTTCATTTTTAATAATCATCATTACCTCAAGCTCGGTGGTTGGTGGAATACAGGATGAATGTGCTGTCCTAGGAGGGCAGATTACTGCATTGTTAACGTTTTCGTCTATGGAAAACACTTTTGACAGGTGTTCGGAAAAGACCTCCACTTTTTCCTCATCGCTTTTAGCCCATTGATTAGCGAGATTTTTAATTGGAGCTTTGTGTACTAAAGGTCGCTTAAGGTTTCGTGTGCATTTCCAGAGAGAATAGTTGGTAGCACGATCATTACTTAAGTTAGATAGGTAGTAGTTGAATTGATTATTTTTAAATTGCTTGATTTTTAGGCTGAGTTCTTTTGCAAGTCTGTTAAGAATGGTTTTGTCTGCTGGATAACTGGATTGCTGCCACTTTTTCCCACATCTTTCTTTTTTCCTGCATAAGATCCACAATGACTTTTATGAGGAAAGGTTGCATTCCTTAATGTGGGCGTGCTGCACCATGCCGCATGTTGTAGTAAATTTGTAAGGTTCAAAATTTCGCTTTCAAGATCATTTACTTCACAAATTTCTTTTGAAGCAATGGTGTTTTCATTAAGGATTCTTCTGAAGTAACTCCAATCTGTGTATTTATTTTCAAGTTTTAGACATTTTTTATTTATTAAGGCAGATTCGAAGAGGGTTATGTAGAGAGGTGAATGGTCGGAGTTTAGTTCTGCTCCATCTGTTATTTTTAAATTGTAGGACGAAATTTGCTTGGTTATAAAGAAATCGAGTAGATCAGGCACCTTTGTTGGGTCAGTTGGCCAATAGGTTGGGTTCCCGGATGACAAGCATTCGCAGCCAGTTTGCTGTATAGCTTTGAGGAGTTCTCTACCTTTCGTTGTAATTAGGCGAGAGCCCCAATGCGTATGTTTAGCATTGAAATCGCCACCCATAATGAAGCGATGCTTATGAGTTTCTATAAGATCTTTGCATTGTTCGGATTTAATTGAATGTCTTGGAGGACTGTATACCGATGTTAGTAGTAATTTGCTTTGTAAGTCAAGGACAACAGTTATTGCCTGGAATTCCTCTTTGGATATTTTTGTAGACTCGTAATGTTTTAATGATTTTTTAATTAAAATAGCACTTCCTCCGCGAGCGCAATTACTAGGATGGACTGCGCTATATACTTCGTAATTCTTTAGTTTAACATATGTTTGGTTAGTAAAATGAGTTTCGCTAATTAAGCAAACATCAACATCTCTGACTGATAGGACTGTTTCAAGCTCTCTAAGGTGTTGAAGAAGACCGTTCGAGTTCCATAGCATTATTTTTATATAACTAAGCATTATTTGTTTTGTTGAGTTTTTGCTCTAGCCTAGTCAAGCGTTTGTCCAATGCTTTATAAAAGTTTTCTTGAGTAGTGATTTTTTCCAGTATTTGTGTTAGTATTTTGTAATTACCATTGTCCTCAGTGTTGGATTGAACTACATCCGAATATGTTTTTTTATTATTCAGCGATTTTGGGTTTTTATTTAGAACATCAGCTTGATTATTTTTAGGTTGGTTTTCAGCCGATATATGATTACGCTGTTTACCTTTGTTTTGTTCACCAATTTTTTTGTTTCTCAATTTTTGAAGTTCTTTGGCTGCTATACAACCTCTGTAATTGGCCGGGTGTCCCTCACCGCAGTTGCAACATTTTGGTTGGTGCTGATCAGGTTTGTTGCATTCTGCAGTACTGTGACTGCCAGCACATTTAACACACCGGGCTGATTTGCCGCAATAATTTTGTGTGTGACCATACGCTTGGCATATTTTACACTGTGGTATTTGCTTTGAGTGCTTTATTGGTTCAATTTTAACAACACAGTTTAAAATAGCTTTAATGTTATATATTTTTTTTATATCCTCTGTCGCCTCAAATGTAAGCATGAACATATTAAGTGGAATCTTTGAATGTGATTTCCATTTGTTGACCGCGTTCACGATTTTAAAACCTTGCTGTTTCAGATCGAATACGATATCGACTGGGTCATATGAATGAGGAAGATTTTTTGCAATAACCTTTAATGGTCGGAGATGCTTGTTTTCATACGAATACCAGGCAGCTTTTTTTGAAGACAGCACTTTTGTAACAGCTCTGTAGTCGCCTATTTCAAATGTACTGATTTTATAAGTACCGCTATTGAGAAGCTTAATAAAAAAATCTTTCTTGCAGTTACTTTTTACAACAGCTTGCAGTTCTGAGTATTTATAATCTTCAGAGACCCTAATTGGTGGTGGACGAGCTATTTTCAGCTCCACTTGGGTATTTTTACTGCTCGCTATAGTTGCCACATTAGAGGAATTCAATGGGGATATGTTGCACTCTGGAGATTCTACGGCTTTACGCTTTTTGCTTGGCTTTTTTTTCAAAATCCAATCTGTTTCTTTAGCAAGTTCCTCCTCATCAGTCTCATAAGTGAGTCTTTCAATTTGTTCACCATCTTTTCTATCTGGAAATATTGCACTTGCACTTCGAAGGGAGGCATTTTCTGCTTTGAAAAATTCAATTTCTTTTCTGAGTTGGAGGCATAGAAGCTCCATTTCTTTAATTTTTGCGAGCTGGATTGATGACATGTCGCTTTGAATATTTTTAACCGAGAATGGTGTTTGCCCCCCACCCTGGGGTGGAGGTTGGTTGACATCCATGTATAGCTAAAGACTTATAAATAGAAACAGGTTCTTGTCTGTGATAAATATATAACAAAATGTTAAGTATCTTGATTTATTTACACACTTTTCCCGGCCAGCAAGAATTCAGATAAATGTTAATGCAAAAACTTTAATTTCAATTCTTCACAAAATTTCTCGTATTAATATTGAATAATTAAACTTTACAATTATATTTTATATAATTGGATTTGAAGTTTTACAACACTTCTTTTAATTTATTATTTTTAAGCTTAAAAGCTTTTTTGTTTTTTTGCTGTCTCTATCAACTGATATATGTATTTGTGTATAAAATTTGCAGCTATCTGTCTCTATCAGATTTGTTTGTATTATATAAATTACGTTCCACTATTATTAATAAAAATTATGTTCCATAAATATATGCGCCAAATTCTGATCCATTTCCATTACAATATATATACGCACACAATTTACACCATTAATTCAGCAAATCATGCTATAACACTTTGTTGATGTGCAATTAAAAAGATACTGTAAGTATTTTAAATCATTTACTACTTAGCCAAATTTACTATTTAGTTAAATTTTACAGAGCGAATTTAGTACACGTCCATTTGCCGCGAACTTTTTTTCGAAGAGTATCCTAATGAAAATTTTAACTTAAATAACGACAGTTTGAATGATACTGATTTCTCTTTTGTTTATTTTTGTGTATTTTTGGGTATATTGTTCGAACTTTTACGAAGTAGCAGAAATGACAGATATAATAGAAATTCTATATGTTAATTGAAATAAATTGAAAATTGGTCAAAATATTCTTTTTTAATAAATACATTTATGTTAATAACACTTCGTTTAATAATGTGTGTGACTAACTACTTAAAACACATTTTTTTGCCAAAATTCGTTTTTATTCATCAACAATCTCCCCTTTTAGTCCCCTTTTAGGGAGATACAATCATTCCAACGCTTTTGCAATCTTTCGAAACCGTCTTTGTAAAACGATTTTTCTTTGCCTTCAAAATAGGCGTTAGTTTCGGCGATATCTTCATCATTTAAGCCAAATCTCTTACCACGGAGCATCTTTTTGAGGACTGCGAAGAGCCAGTAGTCGCTGGGGGCCAGATCTGGAGAATACGGTGGGTGCGGCAGCAATTCGTAGCTCAATAATTATTTTCAATTTCCAGAATTATTATTTCATCAAAGTTAAAATTATGTCCTTTTATATAGCACTGATGAAGTTCTTAAGTAAAAAACGACATATTTACCAACATTTTTAAATAAATGCGTTTAATTGTTCGTGTAGTATACATATTCGATCATGGCAACCCTGTATAAAGCAATAGATAAAAAAGGAAAAATACGAAGTGCGTTGTTGTTCGTCGTTGTGATCAAAGGAGTAAGCGTGCCATGCCGTATAAACTATTATTATTATTATTAAATTGTAAATCTATTTAACTTTAATCAATAAAGTATATAACAAAATTGGCGACGAGGATAAAACATTTCTTGTGAGCAGACTATTTTTCAAAAATGTTAAATGATGGAGAAGAATTTCGGAGATTTAATTTACCGTGGCGTCAGGAAAATGGCAGACGTATGTGGAACAAATGGAATTTTTCTTTTTGGCTAATGATATTACAGACGCAAAAAAGAAGAAAGCTATCTTTTTAGCTTCATGTGCGATGGAAACTTATACAATATTAAAATCGGTTGCCACACCTGTTAACATATTAGATGAGCAATTTACATTTGATGCGGCAACTAAACTATTGACGAGTCATTTTTGTCCAGCAGCTAATATAATAATTCAACGTTTTAAATTTTATCGGAGGGATCAAAAAGAAGATGAATTAATTACCGAATTTTTGGCAGCGCTAAGGAAATTGAGCCAAGACTGCAATTTCAATGATTTAGAAGAAATGTTACGAGGCAGGTTAGTCTGTGGCATACGCGACGGGAATTTACAAAAGCAGCTTCTGGCGAATGACCAGTTAACATTGAAAATAGCGCAGGAGGAAGCTATTGCATCAGAAACAGCACAAAAAAATGCGACGGAACTTAAAACGTCAGCCAGCCTTCCAGGCTTAAATAAAATTTTAAGCAACAAGGTAAAAAATATTCGTGCTCCAGTAGACCATATTCAGAATTGTTATCGTTGTCGAGGAAATCATTAGTCAGATCAGTGCAAATTTAAAGACGTAGAATGTTATTATTGCAAAAAGCGTGGACATATTGAAAGAGAGACAGCAACAAATAATTGGAGAATACCAAACAGAGTAAATCTTTTAGACACAAGCCAGGAAACTCAAACGTCGGAGTATTTATTGTCAATGTTCGCTAAAAGTAGTCCATCGGTCAAGAGAGTGATTACGATAGGTAAGTCATCGGTACAAATGAAAATAGACTCTGGGGCAAGTTACTCAATAGTAAGTGAAAAGTTATTTAGAGAAAAAATGCCGTATATTCCGCTAAAACCAAGTCAAATACAATTAAGAACTTGGGGAATAGAGAAAAATCTTAAACTGAGTGGAGAAGCAGAAGTACCAGTCTCGTTTGGGAATGTTACAAAGAAACTAAAGTTGTTAGTAGCAGCGGGTGATGGTCTGGCTCTAATTGGTCGAAATTGGTTTAACGATTTGGGAAACTAGCAATTTTTGCAGTATAGAATCAACTATTCCAGTATAAGTTTTTTTTTTTTTTAATTTTATTTTCTTTTATTGCGATCTGTCATTCAGAGTAGACAATAAACAATATTTAAAAGTGATTAAATACTTAAAAGACCATTTTGAGCTTGAATGGACTGAGCTCAGTAGCACATCCGTCTGTTGAAGTCGGACACATTAAAGTTGCAATGGCGTTTGTTTGCGGAGGCGTGTGAACGTTCTTCCTTCTGCTATAATTCTGCTCATAAAGAGGTTGGGATGATGTAACAAACGTTTTTTGTGTTTACTGGCTTGGCTTTTTATGACATCCTTAACCACCGGAACGTTGACATCGCGATGATTACATTCATTTGTTATATATCTAGGAGCATCTAAGATTAATCTGAGGGTTTTTGATTGAAAACGTTGAATAATCTCAATATTTGAAGATGCAGCAGTTCCCCAGAGTTCAATGCCATATGTCCAGATTGGTTTGAGTATCGTTTTGTAGATAAGAAGTTTATTTTCCACGGAAAGCTTTGAACTTTTGTTTAGTATCCAGTAGAGCTCCCGCAGTCTGATGCCAAGTGCTTTTCTTTTAGTAAAAATATGGTGCTTCCAAGTTAGTTTTGTGTCAAAGTGTATTCCTAAATATTTCACTTGGGTAGATTGAGGGATTAAGATATCGTTAAGTCGTACCGGAGGGCAATTTTTCCTCCTCATTGTAAAGGTTATTTGTGAAGACTTAGTCTCATTTGCTTATATTTTCCAGGTTTTAAGCCACTGGGAAATGTTATCTAGCGCTCGCTGGAGTTTGTTTGATGCTAACTGGTGATTTTCGTCTGTAGCAATTACCACAGTATCATCGGCAAAAGTTCCAATCTCAGTACCAACGGTGGTAGGCAAGTCGTTAGTGAAGAGTAAGTATAACACTGGTCCCAAGACACTGCCTTGTGGCACTCCAGCCTGAATTAGCTGCAAAGTTGACATTTCATCCCCCTGTTTTACAAAGAAATATCGTGATTCGATGTAAGATTTTAAGAAAATATAGTAATTAATTGGGAGCATCTTTTTAAGCTTAAACAATAGGCCGTTATGCCAAACTTTATCAAATGCCTGGGATATGTCCAGAAATGCTGCTGTGCAGTACTTCTTTTTGTCAAATGCTGTATGTATGACATTAACCACTTTGTGTACTTGCTCTATTGTACTGTGTTTTTTTCTAAAACCAAATTGATATTCCGGAATTAGTCTCCTTCTATTGACAATAGGCATTAATTTGGTAAGAAATAAATTTTCCAACAACTTTGACATAACCGGTAGAAGACTAATTGGTCTATATGACTTAACATCTTTTGCCGTTTTCCCAGGTTTGAGTATCATAGTGATTTGAGCCACCTTGAATTGGGGAGGGATAAAGCCTTTTGTGACAATAGAATTAAAAATGTTTCGCAGCAGTACTATTGCTTCATCCGGTAACTCATTTAATATTTTTGAAGTAATTAGGTCATAGCCGGGTGCTTTATTTATTTTTAGTTTTTTGATTTCAAATTTTATGTCGAAAATGGAGAATTTTTGTATTGGAAGGTCCAGTTGGTGCGTTTGCAGTAATACCTCTCTAATCTCTTCAGATATACTATTTGGTGCTTCATTAAAGTTTGGAACAAAAACTGAAGACAGATGGTCCGTAAATACTTTACATTTTTCTGTATCTGTTCGGGCCCATTGCCCAAGTTCGTTTTTTACTGGTGCATTGTGCGTTGTTGTCTGTTTCTTGATTGCTCGCCAGAGAGAGTAGTTAGTGGAAGTAGTTGCGTCTAGTCTTTGGAGATTTCTTTGTATTTCCAAATTTCTGGTTGTTTTCAGATGTTCTTTTAGATTTTTGATCAGCACATTAAAAAGTTTTTTATCTTTCGGAGATTTGGTTTGTTGCCAGCGCCTTCTGGCTGCTCTTTTGGCTCTTATAAGTTCTTGAGTCGTACTACATAATGGTGTGGCGAATTGTTGCATGTTTGAAGGCGTGGATCTCCAGGCTGATTGTTGAATACTCCTTATAAGATGTTCGGTTGCAAGCGCAATTTCTTCGTCTGTTTTAAGCGCCATTTTTTCATCAAGTAATGCCTTAAGTGTATGCCTAAAAGCATCCCAGTTGGTTAATTTGTTGTGCAGATAATATTTTTGAACTTTAAGTTGTATATTCGATTTTATCCGTAATAATACTGGCGAGTGATCTGATGAAAGATCAAAGCTAGATTGTTGTTTTGTCGCACTCCTTTAATAACACAAAAGTCTAACAAGTCTGGCATTTTTTTGGGATCCGTGGGCCAATAAGTTGGTTCTCCAGACGAGATAGTTGAAAGGTTTTCGCTTCTTATAGCCGCAAGCATCTGTCGTCCTTTGGGTGTTGAAAGCCGAGAGCCCCATTCAACGTGTTTAGCATTAAAATCTCCCCCCGCAATAAATCTGTTACCTAAGGTTCTAAAGAATTTTTTATATGTTGCCGTCTTAGTTGCGTGTTTTGGTGGACAGTATACTGATGTTATTGTGATTGAGCCACACCAATCTTTTACTGATATGCTGGTTGGTTGAATCTCTTCAGTGCGGTATTGTTGCATTTCAAAGTGTAATATATTTGTTTTAACTAAAATGCCACTTCCCCCTGAGCCGTTCCATCGGGATGCAAAGTGTGGTAAAAGTCATAGCCTGGTACTTTAAAATAATGTTTTGAAGTAAAACGTGTTTCAGATATTAGCATGATGTCTACTTTTTGATCTTTTAAAAATTTTTGTAACTCTAAACAGTGTTTTGACAGCCCATTCGCATTCCAGAGCACTATATTTAATTCACTGTCGGACATAATTTAGTCGTCAGCGTGACAAGAACATTCATTAACGTAGTGATTTGTTCTAACATTTGCTTAACTACTATTAGAACTTCGCTCATGGTATCTGGAGATTTAGGAATAGTATGAGATTTAGGTGATTGTTCCACTAGCACACTAGCATAACTTCTTTTGGGATCCCTTGGGATAGAAACTTTGTCTTTTTCTTCGTCAGTTTCTTTGTTTGTAGTTGTTGTTGGTTTAGGTTTTAGTGTTGGAAATTTCGCGGTTTGTAGCTGCTTATATATCGAACAGCCTTTATAATTTGCAGGATGATTCCCTTCGCATAATACGCATTTGACTTCAGTATTTCTTCCTTGGATTGGACATTGTGACGAAGAATGGTTTTTTGCACATTTGATGCACCTCGGATGTCTTCGACAATAACTTTTCGTGTGGCCATAGTCTTGGCAGTTACTACACTGAGGAATGTCTCGTTTAGGACGAGGAGGCTCAAACGTGACTCGACTATGCATCAAATTCTTTATGCTGTAGATCTCCTTGTAATTTTGTTGAGGCTCAAGTTCTACAATGAAGAGAGGAAGTGGTTTTTTCGATTCTCTGTGTTTCATATTGAACACGTTTAGAGCTTTATGGCCTATTTCCGCCAGAGCTGTTTTAATGTCCTCGGTATTGACAGACGAATGCATATTTCTCAAGATAGCTTTAAAATTTCGTTCATCTTTAGGCTTGTAGGTATAAAATTCGGTTTTTTTCGATTCGAGTTGCTTTACTATTGTAACATAAGACTCAGTTGTTTTTGCTTGAGTTTTTACCTTTTCGTTGTTTAAAACTTTTAGCTCAAAATTGTTTTCTACTTGTGAGGACAAAAGATTTATGAGAGGATTTATGTTATTCACCCTATCTACGAATATTGGTGGAGGTTTGGGCTGTTTTTCGGCATATTGTGTCACTTCTTCAACTTCTTCTTCTTCTGTTTCTAGTACTGAAAATTTATTTACGGAAGGGCTTGGATTGTCTAGCCAGTAACTATCTAATTTAGCTTGTTTTTTAGTTTGTTCAGCATTTTTTGAACGACGAATTTCAGGACTTGAACGAGTTCTTTTCTGACTTTCTTTTGGAAGTTTAATTTTTTTGTATTGAAGAGTTGCTTAATGAGTTTTCTTTTGAGTTTCCCTTCGATTGAGTATGTACTTTGAAAGTTTTTTGGCTGTTCTGCTCTTTGTGCACAGGTGTAGAGAGCATAGCGCAATTTGATGTAGTAGGCATTTCGTTCAGTATATTGTTCCAGTATAAGTGATGAACTTCAGTTCAGTTTTTGATGGAAATCTTGGAGATTACAAGGGAAATCCTGTGAAGTTACAAATGTCAGTCTCAAATAAACCGAAATTTCTTCGATATCGACAAGTGCCTTTTGCACTAAAATTCAAGGTGGAAGCAGCATTAAAGGAGTTGGAAGATGAAGGCGCACTACGCTTAATACCCTTTAGTGAGTGGGCAACACCGGTTGTACCTATTATTAAACCAGATGGTAGCATACGCATTTGTGGAGATTATAAGTGCACAGTGAATCAAATGATTTGCAAGGAATCGTATCCATTACCTACTAACACAGAAGTACTAGCAACATTAGCAAATTGTAAGTGGTTTACAAAGCTGGACTTAGATCGAGCGTATACACAGGTGAAGGTTGACCAAGAATCAGTAAGGATACTTTCACTAAACACACATTGCGGACTTTTTAAAGTTACAAGATTACCGTTTGGAATTTCAACGGCACCAGGTATTTTTATACGGGTAATGGAAGGAGTTCTTAAGAACATAGATGGTGTGATTATATATTTAGACGACATTCTAATTGGCGGAACAACTTTAGAAGAGTTGTGGGATAGAACACGAACTGCTCTGAAATGTGTACAGGATGCAGGATTGAAGCTTAAAAAAGCAAAATGTGTTTTCGCGGTACAAGAGATAACATTTTTGGGGCTTAAGATAAGCTGAGAAGGAGTGCGTCCAACTGACGAAAGGCAATAGCTCAAGCACCAGAACCAATAAATAAACAACAGCTACAAGCTTTTCTTGGGTTAATTACATTTTATGATAGATTTTTACAAAATAAAGGCGATTTATTGGAACCGCTGTATCAACTATTAAGAAAAGAGATACCTTTTAAATGGGATAAAGAACAGAAATTAAGTTTTGAACGAGCAAAGAAACTACTACAATCAAAAAATCTGTTGGTGCATTATTCGGCTGACTTACCACTGATATTATGCGGAGACGCATCACCGTATGGCGTTGGGGTCATTTTGGCACACAAGATGCCGGATGATAGAGAAGCACCGATTGCTTTTGGCTCCAGAACATTACAGGGAGCGGAACGAAATTATTCACAGTTGGATAAAGAAGCGCTAGCGATTATGTTTGGAGTACAAAAGATTCATCAATTTTTAAGTGGTAGACAATTTACAATAATGACTGATCATAAACCACTAGTGGGATTATTCAATCCAGATAAACCAATATCACAGCATATATCACCCAGAATGTTAAGGTGGTCGTTAAAGTTAGGCGCTTACGCGTACAAGATTAAATTCCGAGAAGGGAAACATCACCAGAATGCAGATGCATTGAGCCGGTTACCTTTAAATGATGTAAACCTACAAATACCGGAAATACCTGAAATATTATACTGTAATGAGGTTGAAGAACAGTTTTTGATCACTGCAAAAGACATCGCACATGCAACCAGAAGAGATCCAGTACTATCAAAAGTAATGTGGCATATCCAAAGGAAAGATAAAGTTTTGCCATATAAATCAATCCAGTTTAAACCGTTTGTGAGCAAAATCCAGGAACTATCAGTGAATGCACAATGTTTGTCAGCAACGCTAAGGCCATGGTCACGGTTACATACTGATTATGCGGGACCCTTTATGGGTACAAATGTTTTTATTGTCGTAGATGCTCATAGCAAGTGGGTAGAGGTAAAAATAACCAGTACAATAAATGCGATTAGAACAATCGTGTTAATGAGAGAAATTTTTGCAACACACGGAATACCACATACCATTGTGTCCGATAATGGGCGAACGTTTGTGTCAGAAGAATTTGAGAAATATTTAAAACTTAGCGGTATAAATCACATCATCAAACGGGCAAGCAGAAAGGTTTGTACAAACCATCAAGAATTACCTTAAGAAAATGCAGTCTTCAGACATCAATAAGAATTTGGCAAATATACTTTTGCATCTGCGTACAACTCCTAATGCAAATTCAAATTCGAATCCAGCGGAAATCTTGATGGGAAGGAAGTTGAAAACATTGTTAGATCATTTGCACCCCAGTGATGACAACACTCAGAAGCAGCTAAATTTTGATGAGTATTCGCAGTTTCCAGTGTGGTGAAAGTGTTTGGTACCGAAATTTTGGAAGAGGTGAAAAGTGGATGCCAGGGATTGTACAATCAACAGGAGATCGCAACTACAAAATTCAATCAAATAGTAACATATTGTCGAAACATATTGACCAGTTGCATAAGCGAGTTTCGGAGACACCGACAAGTTTAGAATCCAATATAACTCCAGTGGCAGTAACTTCAGTGGCACAACCGGAAGAGCAAGACGACCAAGTAAGTGCAGGTCATTCATCAAATGAATATATCCTACCAGATAGTCAAATAGAGGGGTCATTAGACCGTACCGGCAGAGGCAACCGCCAAAAAGGTTACGGGACTGTTTGATGGGGGAGGAACTGTAGTATATTCGATCATGGCAACCCTGTATAAAGAAATAGATAAAAAAGGAAAAATACGAAGTGCGTTGTTGTTCGTCGTTGTGATCAAAGGAGTAAGCGTGCCATGCCGTATAAACTATTATTATTATTATTAAATTGTAAATCTATATAACTTTAATCAATAAAGTATATAACAGTTCGGGTCTGTAAGCTGATAAGAATTTAAATACGAACAAAAATTTAAACATACGATAAACTACATCATATCAATATGCAAAATAAAGGCTTCTTTAATTTAATTAACATTAAATTTGGTCATCATCATAACACATTTTTTTTAAAACATTTAATGCATTTAAGCAAAACTCTGGCTAACCTCAACAACAGAAGAATATTTTTGCTTAAATGCAGACAAAAAAATATAATACCTTCGCATATTAAAAATAACATCAAATGCATATTTACAATATCCACTGACAATCACCCTTATAAACATGTAACTGATGAGTTATTAAAAAAATTCAGACGATCAATTTTGAACATTGAAATAAAAATAACAATATGGAAACTTGATAGAACAAACAGAGAAATAACAAAAACTAAATTAGAATTGAATCGATATATAGATGTAATAACTTTAAACAACTTTTATGACAGATTAAAACATAGATATAATTTCATTTTTGATAAAACAAAGAAATAAAATTGTAAGAAATTCCAAAACCACACCATAATTTGTTAAAAGAAGTTTATCAATAATTATACGAATGTTCAAATACCAATACAAGTCCAACGTGTAATAGGAGTAGGTCCAAAATTGTCCCTTCAGATAGAAGCAAAAGATGTTAACATGAGTACCATTATTAAAGATTTTGAATATGGTGTAAGACAACATCCATATGATAATAATAAATTAGATCAATTAAGAATGAAAGGGATAAACATTATTACCAATTTCTATTCTAATGTACATTGTCTTAACAAATCAAATAATATAAGACAAGATGTGAATTACACCAAACAATTTTTACGTGAAAATAGTAACATCTTAGTAATGAGAGCAGACAAAGGAAATTCTACAGTTGTTGTATATAACGATGAATATATTCAACACATGACCGATTTGTTTAGTAATGATCATCTATATGAGTTTATTAACAAAGATCCAACTTTAGTAGTTGAAAATAAAAGCAATTCAATTATTGATTCGCTATTTAAAACAGGAGATATATCGAAAACCGAATTATATCAACTGAAAAAACATAATAGTGTTTGTCCTAAAGCTTATGGTCTTAGAAAAACTCACAAAGAAGATACAATAGGTTATAGACCAGTTATAAGTAACATCAACTCTCCTACTTATAACTTATCGTCTTATATTCACAAAAAAATCTTTTCCCAAGTATGCTCAACTTTTCACAGAAGTGTAAAAAGTTCATTTGAAGCAATAGAAATTTTAAAAACAACAAGTATTCCTGAAGGATATATATTAATTTCATTAGACGTAGTCTCTCTTTTTCCAAGTATTCCCAGGACATTAATGATTGAAATGATTAAAAAACATTGGAATTACTTAAGTTGTTACACTACAATCTCAAAAGCTTAAATGATTGAAATTGTAATGTTTATTTTTGACAACAGTTTTTTCAAATTCAATCAAAAAATTATACACCAATTGGATGGAACATCAATGGGAAACCCATCTTCACCATCATTAGCTAATTTCATTATGGAAATTATCATATCAAATGTTTTGGAAAAATTACCATATGAAGTAAAATTGGCAATGTATTATGTAGATGATACTCTTTTTGCAATACCAAAAGAAGAGGTAGAGAAGACAGTAGAGATTTTTAATAATATAAATCCGAGTATTCAATTCACGTATGAGATTGAATGCAATGGAACAATACCGTTTTTAGATATAATGGTGATAAGATCGGACAATAATAAAGTTATTACAAACTGGTATATGAAACCTACATCATCGGGAAGGTTACTTAATTTTCTATCAGACCACCCAATTCACCAAAAAATTAATACGGTTAGAAACTTGATTAGCAGAGTTACAAGTCTCAGTGATGACAAGTTTATGGATGATAACAAGAAACAAATTAGACAGATACTTATGAATAATAATTATCCTAAGTATTTTATAAATTAAATCTTTCTGTCCTATAAATGCACAAAAACATCAAAAAATACAGTTGACAATGTCAATAACAATAAACCTAGATCAAAGAATCTATAGTACAAAGAAGTGCCACGCTCATACAAACGAAATACCCACTTTATTTTGCTGGTGGATTTATAATAAATCCACCCAACCTCATGCAACAATGTTCGATCGAGTCACAACTGGTATGATGTTCAGTTCAAACTCATTGCAACCCACAATTGTTTTTATACGCCTGTTTCTTTTGCCTTTCTTGTTTTTATTTGTCTATTTAATTAATATACATTGATTAGTAGCGAAGTGAATGGTAAAGAAATCCCTGAAACAATTTTTCCATATACTTTGTTGCTTTATTTTCTTGTACTGGAAAGGCCCATATCATAGGAGTAAAGAGTAATAGAATATATTATTTTTTTATTGCAAAAAATGATGCACTACAAAAACTATTATGTATGTACAAATGTGATATTGGAGACATTAAGTCTGCAGTACATAAATAGGTATGTTTTCATTGCACATTTGTGCATATATTTTACCTCAAATGGAACTACTTCTTAATAGTTTGAATTTTTGGTGACTTTTTGTAATTATTTTAAAAAATATTTGCAAGATTCATATAAAAGTTTTTGAAAAGTATTTTAAAAAAAATAAAAATATTAGAAATATAAGAAAAATTATAATGCAAAAATGTGTAGAAGTCACTAAAACCACTATTAATGCCTCCTGGTTTGAGGAAACGCATGAATGCTATTTACACCGGATTGAAATGTTAAAATTGGTGTTTACGATATTGCTTCGGAAACATTGCGCATGGACAACATTTAAGAATAAATCTTCATAGAATGAAAAAAATCAGATTTGAGACATAAATAAATTTATAATGTGTTTTTACACTACAATTCATACCAATAGCAAACAGGGAATTTTGTTTTTCTTTTATACTATTCAATTAAAAAAATTATCAAATGTACACAATTTTGATTTCGTCACTGAAATGCTGTTTGATCGCTTGAACATTTTACAGCGAACAAACACACAAACATGCATATAATGTAATACAGAGGGTTGCATGTATGATTGAATACGAATG